TCTTTCAGCAGTGTTTTGTAGTTTCCAGTGCACAAGTTTGCACTTCTTTGGTTAATTTATTCTTAAGAATTTTATTGTTTTTGATTCTATTGTTAATGAAATTAATTTTATTTTCAGATTTATTGCTACTGTATAGAAATACAACTGATTTTTGTATATTTATCTCATATCCTGCAACCTTACTGAACTTGTTAGTTCTAAAAGTTTTTTTTTGTGTGTGTGTGTGTGGATTAGTGTTTTCTACATATAAGATCATGTTATATGCAAATAGATTTACTTCTTCCTCTACCACCTGGATGTCTTTTATTTCTTTTTCTTGTCTAATTGTTCTGGCTAGAACTTTCAGTACAGTGTTGAACAGAAGTGGCAAAGGCAAACATCTTTGTCTTGTTCCTGATTTTAGGGTGAAAGCTTTCAATTGCATCATTAAGTATGATGTTAACTCTGGGTTTCTATAGATGGCCTTTATCAAGTTGAGGAAATTCCCTTCTGTTTAGTTTGTTTTTATTGTGATGGTTGTTGGATTTTAAAAATGCTTTCCTGCATTTACTGAGATGATCATATAATTTTATTCTTTATATATATATTTTTATGTTGAACCAACCTTGCAACCATGAACCCACTTGGTCATGGTGTATCATTTTCATACAGTGCCAGATTATTTTGAGAATTTTTGCATCTATAAGGGACATTGATCTATAGTTTTCTTGTGATGTCTTTGTGTGATTTTGGTGTTAGAACTGACCACATAGAATACGTTAGAAAATGTTCCTTCCTATTCTATTTTTTGCGAGGATTTGTGAAGGATTGGTATTGATTACTTTTTAAGCATTTGACAGAATTAATGAATGAAGCCTGGTCCTGGGCTTTTCTTGGTGGGAAGCTTTTTGATTACTGAATCCATCTCTACTTGTTATAGGTGTGTATGCAGGTTTTCTATTTCTTCTTAAGTCAGTTTCAGGAGTTTTCATCTTTCTAGGAATTAATTCACCTCATGTAGTTAACCTAATTTGTTGGCATACAATTGTTCACAGTATTCCCTTATAATTCTTTTTATTTCTATAGGGTTGGTAGTACTGTCCCTCTTTCACTCCTGGTTTTAGAAATTTGGGTAGTCTCTCTTTTTTCCTTGATTAGTTTCATTAAGCTTTTCAAAGAAATGTCCTTGATTTTTTCTATTGTTTTTATATTCTCCATTTCATTTATATCTGCTCTAATCATTTTTATTTCCTTCATTCTGTTTGCTGTGGGTTTAGTTTGCTCTTCTTTTTCTAGTTTCTTAAGGTAGAATGTTAGGTTATTGATTTGGTGTCTATTTACTTTTCTATTTTTTAAATATAGGTGTTTTGTTATTAATTTATTATGTTTTGTTACATTGTGTTTTCAATTTCATTCATCTCTGGATCTTTTCTAATTTCTCTTGTGAAGGTTTTTTTTTTTTTAAGAATGTGAGGTTTAATTTCCACATATTTTTCTATTTCCTAAATTTGTTGATATCTAACTCCATTCCACTGTAGTTGAAGGATACGCTTTCTATGATTTGAATCCTGTTAAATTCACTCAGACTTGTTTTATTGCCTAACCTACGTTCTGTTCTGGAAAATATTCCATGTGCCCTTGAGAAGAATATGTATTCTGCTGCTGGGTGAAGAGTTCTATAGATGTGTGTGTTAGGTCTACATTTTTTAATTGAAGTACACTTGACATGCAATATTTTATTAATTTCAGTTGTACATCATAGTGATTCAGTATTTTTATACATTATGATATGATCCCCACAATAAGTCTAGTTACCTGTATGGTCTATACCGTTGTTCAGGTGTTCTATTTCCTTGTAATCTTATGTCTAGTTGTTTTATCCAGGGTGTTTCACATGGGTGATTATATATATAGTCTGTATGGATATTGATATACATCTCCCAGTTTTAGAATACAATGTAAAATTAGGAAAATAGGAATTAATGTCAAAACTCATTAGACCTTAGCTTTTAATTTTAAAAATGTTTGTATTAAACAACTTATTAGTCTTCTAAGGACATGATATGGCTCTCTAAGATCATAAAGTTGGCTTTTAACTTAAGTTTCCACCTCACCAAAAAAGTAACTTTTAAACCAATGTTCAAGTCCATTTTCAGAGTGTCTTCAGAGATAGTCAGGAATGTTCTCTAGAGAAGAGAGAGGAGTTTCCTGGGATATAGTCAGTCCTTCCTCTATTGCCAAAGATTGGGGATGTTTATTTCTAGATGCTAGTATTGAAGGTTTTGTGGACTGGTCCAGCCCCTCCAGATGCAGAAATAGTTTGTAAACCATCAAAACTCTCTAGGTAGGGCCAGCCTCCAATGGAAAAAGCCCTAAATCCCAAGCTGCCAAGCAGCCTCAAACCATCCACTCTGCCCCACTGCCACCCACAGAATCAAGTCCATGAGATACCAGAATGCACTCAGTTCTCCAGGCCACATTCCTAACCATTACCACTCCCAGACACAGACAAGTTAAGCTACCTGGGTCAAATACCCCAGATGCATGGATCCCAGCTCAGGGATTGTGATTTGTTTTCAGGTACAGTCAAGGCATTAAGAGTTTTCAAAGCTTTCTAGGTGATTCTAATGTGCAACGAAGTTTGAGAACCACCACTCTACACTACCTGTAGCCAGTGTTCATCTCATTCTGATTTTGGCCAGTAAAGGCGCTGAAGGCAGGCGGGCAGGCAGCAATGGAGTGTGAAGAACACTAGCTATTCCTGGATGCCAGGCCACTTCTAGGCTGTCCTTACAGGCTGTATAATGACGAAAGGGTCACCTGACACCTCTAGTTTCAGTCTCCTTGTGTATGAACAGATGCACGCCATGTCACAGATCCTCTCCCACTCTGCAGTTCTGGGCTTTACTCCAGGGCTAAGGCCTCTTGGAGGACTTTAACCTGCCCTGAGTCTCTATTCCTGTGAAGACCAGGGCTCCTCCTGGCATGTTCTGCAGGCCTCTAGAGTGCACTCTAGGGCAGGAAAGGCATGGACTGGGCAAAGCTGGTTATGGGAGGATAGAAAGGTCAGTAACAGAGAGGCCACCAGATGGGCTAGTTGGATTTGGGGAAAGCAGATGAGACTGAGCTTCCTGAGAGCAGTGACAGACTCAGCTGACAGAGCCCCATATCTCCAGGCTGTCCCTAAGATACGTGCTTGTATTTGGTTAAGTGCCAATTCTCCTGCAATGTACACAATTTCCTTCCTTTAAAGAATAACATTTGTTCATACTAGTATAAGTGAGTAAGTAATGTAGGAGTGGGTTGAAGCCTCTGTGGTGTGGCTAAGGGAGAGAGTTGGTCATGGAGACTGGCCCCTGGCCCACTGGGCTCCCGCTTTGCCCGGAGACCTGGGCTACCCCTCCTTCACTCCCAACCGAGCAATGAGGCTGAGGAGTAGGAGCGGCCTGGCCAGGAGCTCTCCAGGCTTCTCTCCTCTTATGTAGTTGAGGATTCAAAGATCTTCAAAGTCCAGTGTTCTTCTGATTTGTCTTCACTGGTCTTATCAGAGTCGCCAGAAACTAAATCAGCCTACCAAAAGATTTGAGAGCTCTCATTTTATAGTGATTGTGTATTTATGGCACCTTAATAAATATTCCTTGGAAATGGGCGTTCCCTCAAAAAAACCCATGAGCTAATACCCAAAAGTGTTTGGAACAGTGCCTGGCACATCCCGCAGGGGACGTGCTAGCTGTTTCACCCTTAGCACAGCTGAGCAATGAAGACCAAAAGGGTTGACCCTACTCAAAGGCCTAAGTGGGCAGCAGTGCCCGTCTCTGTCCGGCTTTCCACCTCTACTTGCCAAGGGCTGAGCAGTATCTAAACCCGGCAGCTGGGAAGCACTGGGGGAGAGGACCTCATAAGCAGAAGGGAGCCTGGTTTTTGTGCATAGCTTTTAAGCTCTTAAGCATATAATGGGTGTTTTTGACAGAGGTTGCTCTATAACATGATTTTTTCACTTAAGGTTTATAAATACTTTATTCTTTTTTAACAGCTGTGTATTCACTGTATGGTGTGGCATACTCAAACTCTACTGATGAATGTGTATGCCATTTCCAGCTTTTCACTGTTAGGAAAAACCCTGAGATGAATTTAATTGCCTATGTATCTTAATTCTCATATGCCCTGCAAGAATTCATTCCTTATGATGAATCCTTATACATGGAATTGCTGGATTCGGTCAAACTCTCCTCTGAAGCTGAACCAATATAGACTTCCACCAATCTGAAGGATAGCATTTCCTGCCACCGTCACCAACACTGGGCACGGACGTCAGGATTTAAAGTTGTCAGTTCTTCCTCCTAGTTGGGCTCAATTCATGAGCCAGAAGTTGGAACATGAAAGTTTTGCTTCAGAGAAGAGGGGAGGTGGCCAACATGGCCCGGGGAAGGCAAAATCCATGATGGTGTAGTCGGATCCCTAATTTGAGGAGAACCCAACTGAATTAGTTCCCTCTTTGTAAATTCTAGGAAACAAGACGGTATGGGGCTGTGGCCAGAATGCCGGCTGTGCCACAATGACCTGGGCTGAAGCCAGATCCCACCCCGATGTGAAGTATTTCATACTTCAGGTTCTCTATCTATGAAAGAGCAATGAAAACACCTCCACTGTAGGTCTGGGCAAAGAAGAAAGACGTTCCAACTCTCTTAATACTAAAGTAATCGCTGAAGCTTTCACGTGATACAGTGTACAGTTCAGAAACAGGCAGAAGTAGGGAATGATGTAGGAATATGCATCTCTGACAGAGGAGCGAGGAGGAGACAGACACAAAGTTCAGAAAAAAATGGCAGCCTGGGGGGAGACAGGAGACGGGGCTTGGGAGGACGATACTTGTCATATTCTAGCTCCTTTCCAGGTACAGTCCCACAGGCTTACTTACTCTCTAAACTCTACAGAAGCTGTATGCCCACGGGCGTTATCTCACAAAAAAGATTAAACGTCCCCTGAGAAACTTCAGGAGTGAAGAATGAGACGAACATTTCAAATGTGTTAAGAAATATTAGTTTTATTTAACCAGTTTTCACAGCTGAATATTTATTCTATAAAAACTTTACAGATTGTACAGTTTATTATATATAGTTCAAACTACTGAACGAAAAAGTAGGTCCCACAGATGCAAAAATACTGCACCAACCAATCCAAGGTAAAGGCGGATTTACACACTGTACAGCTCCCCACGTGGCTGGGAGGTGGTCGGTTCTAAGTATAAACTTCCAAACTGTACAAAAATAAGGTTTTGATTTTATTTCATTCTTCATACATTCAATATGATTGCAAGCTCAGAAGCCTAACTAATAATAGGCGTCTGTAATCAGGAATCAGTCCCCACTCCTGAAAGGAATGTGAATGTCTATTTACACAGGGCACTCTTGGACACCACACTGTACTCCGCATAGTGCGTAGACATGAAAGCAGAGACCAGGAACATTAAACATTGAATATAAGGTAGTTCTTTTTTTTTTTTTTTAAAGGAGTTTCTGCATTTAATAGTGTGCCAAAAGAATTTTAACTTATTAAATAAAATATATTCTAAGTGAACCTAAAAATTACACTTTATAAACATAAAAATATTTTTTTTGGTGTAATACATCAATCATATCTGCAAATAGAAAACCAAAACTGTATATAAAGTAGTATTTCTCACCCAGCAACAAGAAGCACTTATGTAGTTATTTTTTCAAAAGGGTCAGAGAAACTCTTTAAACTCCACTAAAACTAACTTATAACTTAGATATTCATACTTAAGCTATTCAGTGATTCACTAATACTGCAAACAAGCTTTCTTCTGAAGAGTGTGGTTTCTTCATGTTAACTGGGTAAGAACTGGACATACTAAAAAGGAAGAATCAATGGATTTTCCAGCATGAATCCTGTGTACTTTAGGGGTATGTTTGTCAGTCGGTCTTTCATCAGAAATACTTATCCTACAAGGTAAGTTTTCCTTTTGATTCAGGACATTTCATCTCTGAGGTATCTGTACCTTTTGAGACAGAGGCACATCTCAGATCTTTCTGTATCTCTAACTGGGGCAGGAGAGAGGAGGCTGGCTAATACCTCTCTAGATTCTGTGTTCTAGAAGGAAAAAAATCAGGAAAACATTATTCCAGACCTTTCTGCCACCCAAAACCAGCAAAACACACTTCGTTTCTTTTTTTATACAGTACTAGCTAAAGATAACAAAAATTGGAGCTTCAAAGAGGAGTCTAGAGCTCACCATTATACTTTTATACTTGTGTGTATATTAAGTATAAAATAATGACGTTCGGACAAAGGAGCTTTGTAGTTATTTATTTTAAAGTTACAGTACTTAAAAACTCCTTGATAATAAATAGCTTGGATGTCGCAAGTCCTGCTTCCAAGCGTGAGCTAAGAGTGAACTTGTTTCAGGCTGTGGGGATGGAGGAGGGCAACCTGGTGCGACAGATGTCCTGCTCTAGAATTCCAGTGTCACCAGCAGGCACCTGCCAATCAGAACTCATCTATCTTCCTCTGCAGGTACTTCAGCATGGAGTCCATCCCTTGCGCTGAGCCCCAGATCTTCTTCAGCACTTCACACTCCCTCTCGTTGGCTTGCTCCAGCTCCATCTTCATGTTACAGCGCACAAGGGCTTTCGATTCTTCCAGCACCTGGACCGGACAACGAGCAGTGAGTTAGCAAGGGTGTGCGTCTGCAAGTACTGGCTCTATCTGTCCCCAAATTTACAGAGGCAGTTATCCATCTTGAGTAATTACCTGTTAAAATTAGGCTACCAGACATTTTTTTTCGTGATACACATCAGGCCCGAGATAGGGCTGTGGTATATCCACACCAGGTAGCGGGCAAATTCTCGACTTCTCAGCTGTTGAGCTGTTTCAGGAGCGCTGTGCTGCTTGCACCCTGGCCCTCCCCACCGAGACCAACCAGCCTGGGCCCCGCGCTCCCGCTGCAGACCAGCAAGGCCCTGGTGCTGGGCGTCGACCCTTGGGAGGCTCCTTGAAAACTCTATGAACACCTGCTGAGGGGATCTTCTAACCAAAATTTAATCTTAATCACGAGGGCTGTTATGTCAGGAGGAGTCTAGATGGGAGTCATGTCAGTTAATATTCAGTAACATTTCATCTTCTAATTTGCTACATGCAATTCTGTTACCAGACTGAATATTATCCAGCACATTTATCAAAAAGCAGCTTACATCCACTGTGGGGGTGGGGGGGGAAGCGAACATGATTATGGGAAAGAGCTTTGGAACCAGGAAAGAACCATACAGATGGTGTGTGGACATTTTATAGGACATTCTGAAGTTCCTACATTTCTGAAATGCATTCCCCTTTCATTCTTAGGCCTCTGCAACTAGGAGGACAAGGTGAGCCCATCTGGAGCAGTGGAACCAATTTTAGCTCCAGCGGCATTTCACATGCTGACGGCCATGCAGGGAGGAGAGGCAGGGGACTCCGGAAACACCGCTGCATGGGCAAGCTCTCTGGAGGAAAGGTCATAGGGGGGAGAAAAAAAGGTAACATATGTAAGAGAATGAATTCCACCTACAACTGGATTACAGGAGGCAAGCTCCTTGATGCGAACCATGACTTCTTGGGTGAAGGTCCCAGGCCAAAACACCTGGGAGACCAGGCCTTTGCCACACGCCTCCTGGGCCGTCAGCTTCCGTCCACTCAGCAACATTTCATTTGCCTGAAAGGAAGAAGAGTTGAAACTGGTATGAGATGTGAGCGGGAGGCAGGCAGAAAAGACTCAACCTGAAAATTCATCTAAAAAAATTCAAACTGAGGACGGGTGTGTGAACGTGCGGGCCCCTCTGGGGACTCACTGTGCTTCCTCCAGGGTTCCAGCTAAAGTGCACTATTCTGGAACCTGTGCATGGCGAAGCAACCCAATGAGGCACAATCAACTATGGAGAGAAGTAACATACTGACAGGGAATTAAAAAAAAAAAAAAAAAAAAGTAAGGCTTATCTTATGATGTAATACAGAATCACGTGGGCATAACCAAGAAATCTCACTTAGAGAAGGTCTACTTGTTGTGAGCTTGAAGTTCCTGGCATGTCCCTCTCCGGGTGCCTCCTCCTTCCCAGTGGCAGCCGTTCCCACATGGGAAGTCACTCAATACACAAAACAGAATCCTGGGAAACTGAGGCATAAGTAAAGCTAGAAAATTCGTAGTTTTAGGGATTGAAATCAGTCACAGAACTACTACTCAAGATTTTCTGTATCTGAGAGGCCAATGGTGATTTCTTCTCAATATACACAGACAATGTTCTAAGGGCAGTGAATGTTTCTGCTCGAGTCTATCTTGGAAGGCCACATTTTACCACTTGGACATGAAAGTAAGCAACTATTCAGGACCTGAACGCAACCAAAATGACCGCTACTGTAGTATTCTTAGAAGGGTCTGACTATAGTTACTTCAAATGACTCAATGGAGGAAATTAACACTTATTTTTGTTAAAGAGAAAGGATATATGTATGTGTATGTGTATGTACACATACGAAATTGACTTTGTTTTGGATTCTGTATCACTTAAGGTCTCAACATGATGTGCATGGAGTTTAGCTCATTCAAATCACAGGCTCACAGATATCAAAATAGGGAGAAAATCTATTTGACAAGGAAACTTTGTGCTGTTCCGATGTGACAATTTTCTCCCTGCAAGTTTATCTTGCACTGCTAAGCTTCCCAAAGACTCTGGTGGTCACGATGAAAACCTGACCATAATCTACTGCGACTCAGGTAAAGCATACTCTTGGGAGGTGACCTTCCTCCCAAGGTAAACTAGGTAAAGAGGTAAACTATTGTTAAGAAAAGCCTCCTGTAAATGCATCGAGACATTTGCTGCACGTGAACGCACAGTGTGGACGACACCCAAATAAAAAGAGCTGGCAAAGGAAATGTCTGGCTGACTCACACCCTTTCAACACAGGCAGAGGATGGAAAACAGGGTGGAGAGCTGGGTCCCCACAAGAAGGACTAAAGTCCTTCACACTCATGACTTATTTTGGCGCCAGTGTGGACCTGTTATTTGTGCAAAGTCTTGGACAAAGTCACGGATATTTGAAGAGTTTGGAGATGTTCCATTTGAAAACCCCTGTACTGAACATCCTCTTCTCAGTGAAAAGAAGGTCTAAAATAAGCAATGCGTTTAGAAGCCTGACTTCACCTTACTATTAGCAGTTAAGATAGTTCTTTAGAAGACCGATCCAAATGCGATGAGAAAGTGTGAGAGGAGTGCTGACAGAAGGACTTGGTGGGAAGTGCTCTACGGTTTTCCTAGTTTGTGCTTCTCTCACTCCCAACACACAGTGAAGACCACACCACAACTACATCACTTAAGCAAAGTGCGAAGTATGTTTTCAAGACCAGCCTGAACCACAGGGCCTCGGCTCGGGGCATGGATGCGAACGTGTGCCAGTAGACAGTGGGGCATGGGGGAGAGCAAGCCTCCTTCCCGTGTTCCCTCTCCAGCCCCTCTGTGGGCCTGTCCCCCCACCCTGTCACTTCTCTGAATATTACTCGTTGTCCTCTAGACGTAGAGCAGAGCCCTACCACTGTTCTCTTTCTCCCTTTCCCTTTCCTTGATTCCCACATGCCTGTGCTAGCCAACTGGGCTTTCAGAACAGTCTCCCGCCAGGCGGTGAGCTGCCATTGCCATCATGTCCTCCTTTTGGAACTGGGCTAACTCCGTGGCTATAGTCCCTGGAGAGTCTTTCCCTACTTAGTCTTCTCTATTCCTGATGGCTGGACGTGCAGGACAACCAAGGGCATTTCTGACTTCACCCAAGAGCATGAAAGTGGGACTGACTCAGGGTTGTTAAAACGCCTCATGTAAGTACAGGCGGTGAGTTGGTTTAAATTACAGTCAACAAATGATACCATAAGATTAGTAAGATTAAATACACTCAGTTTGAATGAGCATGTTCCCATATGCTCCATTTCCAGTAGTTTTAACATGAGAGGTTTCTAACTTCTACCCAAGAAACAGATTTGCAAAGATACAGTCATTGGAAATTTACTGGCTGCCATTTTGTTCCAAGATGGCCAACTGTTTTTTAAAAAAGTTATAGTGTAACTACCCAGACAAGTGAGAAGTACCAGAGGAAAGTAGAGTTCCTTTTTCTTTCAGCCCAAAAGACCACATCAAGAGGTGTGGTGAGGAAACCTGACCAGCTTGGGTGGGAGGGGTTGGGGAGCTTTTTTTTTTTTTAAAGATCTGTCCGACAGAAAGAGAGAGCGAGAGCGAGAGTGCGTGCACAAGCGGGGGTGGGGGAGGGAGAGGCAGGCTCCCTGCTGAGCAAGGAGCCCGATGTGGGACTTTACCCCGGGATCAGGACCTGAGCAGAAAGCAGAGGCTTAACCAACTGAGCCACCCAGGTGCTCAGGGGTTGGGGTTGGGGAGTTTGAACCTCATGGAGGCAGCGGCTCTGCCACTTACTCCTTTGGGTCAGGCTCCCAACTCCCCAGAGCGGCAGCCTCTCTGGTAAACTCGGGGTGAGGCCATCAGCCATTCACTGGCCTGCTCTCCAGCATTGCACCATCCGGAACGAGAGCTGCCAGCTTTCTCAGTGGGAGCCTGTGTTCACCAGCTTCGTGTTCTCCTCAGTGAGGCTCTGCCGGGTATGTCACAGCGCTGGAGCCACGGGACCATGACCGTGCAGTGCTGGGCACGCCCTGAATGTTTATTGGGGACAAGGAGGGCTAAACTGTAGAAGATACCGTCTGACACTAACTTGCACATCTTGTGACTACAGCTTCGCTCCAAAGAGGCTTTGGCAGCTTGCTCCTTTTATCCTGGGAACAGGATCCTGCCTGGCTTAGCCTTCTTGCAGAATTGTGCACAAACCCTGGGTGGAAAACCCAGCCTGCTGTAGCCTTGCCTCAGCCTGCCGGAAGCTCACCAAGGGGACTTGGCATCTGGGGGGTCGCTTCCAACGAGCACTGTCACAGCATGTCTCACCCCTGCAGCATTTACTTACTTTCTGCAGACAGGTTTTAGTCAAATGCTCTGCACTCTGAGTTGATTTTAAACTGTCTGCTCTTGCTTCAGGGCAGGGTTTCTCAGCCAGGCGCTACCGACGTTCTGGTCTGGACGGCTCCGCACTGAGGAGGCTGTTCCGTGATCTGCGGGACGCCGAGCAGCACCCAGCTCCACCTCCGCTGTGACCGCAGGGAGGGGGGACCCAGCACCCCAGAGGAGAATCACAAGTGGCACCCGGAGATCACAAGGAGAAGCAAAATGTGATGGGTTTTCAGGACACGTCCAGTGAGGGAAAAGGCACCCGCCAGATAAGCAGCCATTCATTTTGTCACGGCTTCCCACGCTTTATGGTTCTGAATGCAATGGGCTCAAAGCATTCCACCTCTTAGCAGCTGTTGGCCCAAGGACTTCAATTTCAGAATGTCTTTGCCCAGAATGTGTTTAAATGTCAGGTTTAGGATTTCCCCCAATCTGCTCTTCCTGTGCATCTGCATCAACATCAGACACCTCCTGGGATCACGCAGTTCTTTCAGTCTCCCCTAGAGTAATGACTCAGGATGCATGTAGGCGGCTTTTACCCATGACAAGGAGTCTTCACTCCCAGAACGGGCAGTAGCTGTTAGGAAACAATCTTTTACAATAATAACTCAAAATGAACTTAATTTTCCCAACAACGACTCTACCACCAGAACCAGGTAGTAATAACTGTTGGGTGGGTGCAGCGTAGTGAGAAGAAGACAAATGACCCAGACGGGGCCCACCTCTTCATCCGTGAGACGCGAAGCACCACCCTGGGGTGGACACGGACGTGCCGCCCGGAGGCCTCGGCCCAGGAAACACTTGCTGCCCTTCTGAGAGAGCTCCTCGGCATGGCCACACCCGCAGATGAGGCTCTGGATGCCGCGCAGCCCCCAGAAGAGCAGGGGCTGCCTGTGGGCTCTGGGCGAGGAGTTCTGCCAGGGTGGTGCACGGTTCACCCGTGCCCTCTGCCCAATCCTGCCTCTTCCCTGCCCTGCCACAGAGGTGGACCCTGTGTGTCCCGCTTGCCCAAATCTAGCTCAGCCTCTGCTTCCAGAGAAACTACGGGTTGTTGTCACGGGTGGGAATGGGAGAGAAAGTGGTGATGAGAGGGCTCTGGGAGCAAGACTGCTTCCTGGCTGGCTGGCGAAGAGCACCCCTCACGGGCTGGTGGAGCACCCAGAGTGCCCGGCCCTGGTGGTGGTTCGAGTGTGAAAACCCTCACACATGAGGGCACAGCACCTGCTCTTTGCCTCTGACGCAAGCAGAGGGGCTCCTGGGTAGCAAGAAGGCAGAGAAAGCACAGATCCAGATCCGGCACTTACTAGTCTGACAAGGTGAGTCACCCACTAGGGAGGACCTGTTGGGCTCGGTGGGGAGGGGAGGAAGGAGGAGACCCTTAAACCTGGAATAGGGACTCCAGGTGGACACCCCCAAGTTGAACCCCAGACTCCTCAGACCCCTCTGTCCCCCATCAGGAACAGGTGTTGCTGTCTTGCCTGGAGACAATGCAGAGGTCTCTCTCCGCAAGACGGCATCGCTTCCCTGAAGTCCTGCTGACCTCCTCTCCCGGCCCCTAGGCCTGTAACTTGCTTCCTCCCTCCAAGAAGTTGCAAGAAGACACAGGGAGCTGAATTCTAAGGGTGCCTGACTTGGAGCCAGAACACAAAGCTGGACAGGGGAGTTTGCTGATTTGGGAGCTCTCCTGAGATACAAGATGGAACTCCCTGGCAAGTGCCCCAGGAGATGGTGTGACCTGGCTACTGGTATGGCTCCTAGAAGCACAGAGGGGATGGTGGCCAGGCTGAGTGGAGCCGAAATGTCAGAGCCGCCAGGCCTGACTGTGCAGCGGGTGGGATGAGAGACCTCCAGGAGCTTGGGGCACATGCCAGAGACATGACCACGATGCAGGCCCCTGGGGTTCTGGAGCGAGGCCGCGCCGTTCACATCAGAAAAGAATGTGCCTCTTAAAAACAATTCTGGAGTGTTTACTGAACCCTGGCGGAGGCAGAACACCTAGCCACGGGACACTGAATGACCACACACCGGAAATGTCCCCCCAGAGTGGAGTCCCATCAGGCCGGCTAGGTGTAAGGTGAGCCGTAAGGTGCACAGATGGGATCAGGCACAGGTGAGCCGCATGGGGGGCCCAGACCCCCACATCACCCCCCACTGCTGCACGAGGGCCCTGCTTCAGCTCACACCGCTGGCCACACGGGGGAGTCCTGATGAGCGAGCTTGGGGTGTGGGTGGGCTGACTCCGTTTTCAGGTGTGCAGACTGAAACACAGCCGGCAAGTGCCTGGGAGCCTCCCCCGAAGGGAAACACTCCGCGACAGGGGATACGCCTTGTCCACCACCTGCTGTAGAAGGAGAGGTGGCTCAAGGTGAGAACACACAGTGACCCAGGGTCTGGCTGGCTGGTCAGGGGCCTGGAAGGTTGCGGACAAGGGGTCTGGCATGTCGATGGCTGGGGAAGTGTGTACATGGCTGTGTGACATCAGTGTCCAGCAGGGAGCAGGCACCACAGAGAGGAACTGAACAGCTCTGGGAGACCAGCGCAGTCGCCGGCTGCCCCAGCGCCGGCACAAGAGACAGGTGTACGGAGTGGCTGTGGGGTGTGTGGGACATGCAGCTCAAGGGCACGGGCTCTGACTTATTGAGGCTGATTCGGTTACTGCCACCGCAGAACATCCAGCCTCCAGCAGGATACTAATGCCGAGCCACCTGCTTGGCAACACTCCTGAGACCAGCTAGTCGGCCGCTTGGTGGCCGGCTGACTGTTGTCACAGGAATAGATGCTCACTCTGGTCTGGGTTTGTTTTCCTGCCTGAGGTCCTCACGAGCACCACTCTCCGAGGCTCATAACGTGCCCAGTCTGCAGGCATAGGGTGTGCCAGGCCAGATCCCCCTCGCAGCAAAGGGGCTGTGGGGAGCGGGCCCATGACCACGGGTCCTCTGACCGTGTCATATTCGACACCTCCAGAGGTCGCTGCTGATAGAGCGCTGGGATGGCCTGAGTGCAGGCGGAGTACCAGCCTGGAGGTGGCACCCCCTTCTGAGTTACAGTGTATGCAGTGCATCAAAGACCTTGATACGGTACCAAGTCCCTGACAGAAAGAACAGTCGGGCCCGGGAAACGAGGGGAGGGAAGGGGCACGGCTGCCCCCGCCCCTGCTCCCCACCAATGATCTGAGGGCCCTTTGCCTCCTGCCTTTAAATCAGGGCTCTGCTGGCCCCTGAGGGAGCACGGTTGGCCAGTGGATGCAGCAAGGGTCCCACCCAGCGTAAGGCTATGACTACTACCACCGGGGCACCTGGGGTCCCGCCGGGCCACAGCCACCAACGCACAAGTGCAGCAACTCCGGGGTGGGGGGCGCAGTGTCCCACCACAGGAGGGTCGCTGAGGCCAGAGGACGTGGCAGCCGTGGGTGGGACCGGACAGGAAGGGAGAAGACGAGCACGGCGGTGGCTCTGGGGCCAGATGGGGCAATGGGGGCTGTGTGGGCCCAGTAAACTCCTTCCTCTTTCAACTTTGTTTTGGGAGTAAGTTTAGACTTATGGGAAGATTATAAAAGCAGTAGAGAGATGATAAACCCTTTACTGAGCCCTCTCCAACATTAACATCTTCTATGACATCTTATAATGATCAAAACCGGACAACTACCATCAACACAGTACGATGAGTCAAATCACAGACTGTTTGCAAAGTCCGCGATTTTTCCGAGGAAAGTCCTTCCTCTGACCCTGAACTACGTCTGAGATCCCTGCATCTGCACGGAGCTGTCAGGCCCCTCTGTCCCCTCCAGTGTGGGGCGGCGCCGAGGTCTTCCGGTGAGTTCTCCAACCTCTGTGGCCCTTTGGCAGGGCCCTGCATCTGCAGACTGTGCCACGGTCCGGGCTTGTCTGGTACTCTCTCCAGACCCGACAGAGGTGATGCCCATGCGGCAGGACTCTGGCAGAGCGATGCCATGTCATTCTTGCTGCAGCAGGTCGGGGGCCAACGACGGGTCTTATTTCTGGGGACTCTGACCACTCAGTAAGGTGATGCCTGCCAGTCTCCTCTACTGTAAAGTTAACTATTTTTCCCACCACAAATAATGAGAGGATGCAAACATCCATTTTCTCATCATACTTTTACCCGCCAACTTGAACATCCAGGTGGTTCTTGCCTGTACAGTCATCAGTGGCTAATCCTTCTCGTCTGCGTCCTTCCCCGGGAAGAGCAGCTCCCCTCAATGTGTATGAAGAGGTGGACAGGAAGGACCACAGGGCGGACTGTGGTGGACATGGGGATGTGCCGCTGAGGTCCGTCCGAGGGAGGGCTTGCTGTCCCAGCTGTTGGCAGTGCTGTCGGCAGCCAGCCCTCAGCTCCTTCGGGGACGCCCTCTGCCGCAGAGAGCCGCCTCATCCACGGTCACGGCGCTCTTCCTGGGCAGCCCACACTCGGTGATGATGGACATAAAGGAACCAGCCGTTTCAGTCCACTGTGGGACAACTGTGACAGGCCATACACGCCCCAGAGCTCCCCAGAGGTGGCCCAAGCCTTGCTGGGCCTGCCTTCCTCTGTCCAGCCCCCTAACCACTGCTATCCTACCGACAGGTGTGGACTATGGAATATTGCTCCACCATGACAAACTCCACCTCAGTGCTGGCTTTTGAAGACCCTAACCTGTGACACCTCTTGCCCTACTTCATGGAGTAAGAAATGCAATGTGCGTAATTGCTTGAAAAAAATCAAAAGCTACAAACACTAACTCTTATTATGGATGGCTTAAACAGTTAAAAAAAAATAAAGCTCCACAATCAGATGGGAAGACTTCTCTTATCCTAATCAACTTAGCTCCTTCATTGCTTTCTCTTACAAATGCAGCTCTTACGTTCTTACGTCAAGAAACTTTTGGTGGCACACTCTGTTGTTTGGATTACAAATTGGGTATTTACTAATAACGGATATCAGTGTCAATTATGCAGAGAGAGACTGCTCACTGAATAAGGTCCTTCTCTAGAAAATGATGCAACCCAGTGTCAATAAATGTTCTATGAACCAAAATATGAAAAACCTCCTATGATTTCATGAATTAAGAATATGAGGTAATGAAGAGAATTGAACTACAAGTGCATTTGGTAGGAAGTCCCCACAAAATGACACCCTATATATATTTAGAAAAACAATGACCAAACTGGATTTCTTCAGGAAGTCTTCTAAAATAATTTTAAAAAATAGAGGTACTCACAGATGCTCCTCCCATAATCTTGGGAAACATAACGGTGGAACAGCCATCTGGACTCTGTCCGAAGGTAGTATAGGGTGTTTGAAACCAAGCCTTTTCATTGGCCCAAACCACATCACAAAGAGGCAATATGGAGGCTCCTAGTCCAATGGCTGGGCCATTTACTGCTACAATTATAGGCTTCTTAAACTGAATGAAAGTATTCACGAAGTTTCTAAAATGAAAAATAAATGGGAAATTACTCAAAACATTGTGTATGTGAGCAACAGAAAAATCTATTATAGATTCAATATACCAAGAGGTAAACTCTACCGAAATCAATGTAAGTTGAGATTTGTTGAAGGCTCTCCCAGAAGTGGGCCATGGTCTTATTTACTGTGTGTTTAAAGGCCTGATGATACCGTGGACGCTATGCTAGAGTGGCTACAGGACCTGTGTGAAGACTACGGGTGAAGTCCAGTCAGAGGCTGCTCTTGGATTTGCAGCTGGCTCTGGGGCTCTAGGACTAATCCATCTTTCTCCACAACCTTTCTTCCCTTTGAGACATAAGGAGCCCAATAAACACTGTGGGCTTCCGATGACCAATCTAGAAGCTCTCCCAAAGAAAACCTGGCACGGGGCCTCCCAAGACTGCCTGGTGTTGAGCAAAGACTAGGAGGTTGGGGTTATGACCCACAGGATCAGGGTCTGGACTTGGTATGTGCTTTCAGGCAACTCACTGACTGGAAACACCAGAGATTTCCTGAGTTTGTCCAGAATTAGATGGAATGACTTGGGGGTGTAGAAACAAGAAATTTCCAGGCTGGTTTAAGACTGGAGATCCAAGGAAGGCCAGTAAGCAGCAGAGACACTGCCTGTACACCCCTGTGTACCGCACTGTGTGCTGGAGATTATAATTACAGCAGGACTGCAAAGGACAGCATGACTAGGGGTAGGGCAGCCTTCACAGAGGATGTGGATTTCAAAACCAAGCCAATGCTATTTTTGGATTTGTTTTAGGATCAGACTGGAGAAGTAGGCTGCTTTTCAATTTAGGGTAGGTTGGTGCCATGCCATACTGGGAATGTGCATCTTCTTCCTACCACTAGAATCTAATTTTATGTTCAGAGGTTGCTGCTCGTTATGATTTAACATGGTGAAGAAAAAGACAAACATGCACCAACAAAAACAGAAGGTAATTCCTTTAAGGCAGTCAGAGTTCTAGCTCAGATTTACAGAATTCTAAACCTGACCCCCATCTTCAGTACCAGAAATAACAATCTGGTTGCTCTCTGCAATTCAGCAATTTAAAAGCTACAGCAGATCTACTCAGATTACCTCTGGAAATCAGGACTTAACATCTTAAGTGGTCTCCCCATCTCCCCACATAGTGACAACGAGGGATCATAGTTTTTGGAGGGGGAGCAGGTTAGGGAGGTTTGGGTGGGTGGGTGTGTGTGTGCGCGCGCGCGCGCATGTGAAGAACAGAAGAGAGGATGCACTGCAGAATTTGGCAGCTTGCATGCCTAGCTCCAGGGAGTATTCTCGAAAGCACCCTGCAGCCAGTGCAGACCTCAGCCCAGCCCCCAAGGTCCCCTATGGTTGGTGGGCTCTTTACATTGAGTAAGAACTGACTCATTCAAATGAATGAGTTGCAGTAAGACTTTCTAAATGAGAGCCTAAGGCGTTGTTAGAAAGATCACACTGGGTTTTAATGATACAAAGAAAAGCCAGACAACCTTTTAAATAGGTTCTTGAAATAATGTAGACAATTTACATGAAGCTACTTCACTTGTGCCACCTTTTGAGGATTCTTGGTCAATGACATGATGGAAATACATTTACTACGCTCAGTTACTGATGACTCTCGAAAAGGTCTCCATGATACAGAGCAGACGTTTTCAAAATCTGTCCCCAGGTGCCCTGGAGTCACCCTGCTTTCATCTGCCTCATGTGAACAGGGGCCGAGGGGGAGCTGTGCTAGTGCTAACAACATCTGGAAACCATGAATGGGATGGCAGAGTAACATGAAAGAAATGAGCAAATATTGCAGTAAGAGAGTGACTTTATAGAGAAATGGTCAAAGGAATCAATCACTCCACAAGGCAGTGTTCCTTCTCACGTTATATGTTTGTATAAAAGAAAAAAGATGCTTCTAAAATAGATATTGCAAAATCAAAGCCTGGAAAATTGTTTGAAGCTGATTCCTCAGCCCCCCTCCCCAAGTTATTTTTATTTTTGCCTGGAATGATAACTTCATCTGAAATCGGTGGCTGCTTCTGGGAGGGGTAGGAATTCACTGGCTCGCTCAGCGAAGATCATCTTCCCCTTTCAGAGGACACAGCTGAACATTCGGGTATGTGAGCTCTGAGATGTCAGAAAGGAGCATGGCCTACAGAATTTTTTTTTTAAAACAACAACAAACTTCATAGAAATACTTTTTTTTCTGTTTAGTAGAAACTTTGCAGAGCCACAAAGGCTTGGCCACAATGCGACCAGAGACAGGGAGGCGGGGGCTGCCTTCGGGGCCTGGGACGCCTCTCAGGAGCCTGGCCTTCATGGAGGGCCGGGCCACTGCTTTTAGGGGGCGTAAAGCCAAGTCTATTTCAGAACTTAAAATCAAAATGCATGAATGTTTCAATGTGGTCAATGCAACATATTGAATTTAAGTTTCAGCTTTCTGGGAACTGTATGTGAACTGAGCTATAAAGTCTGTGGTGGGTATGGCAGGGAAGGAAAGAGGTTATATTTGTCATAGAGGAGTTTAAAAAGACTTCTAATTAAACAAAAGCAAACTTCTATCCATTCTTTTGAAGAATATTCACTACTTCATGGATATCACCAAAAAAGTTAGAAAATCACCTACAAACAAGAGTGTAGGAACTGTTTGGGGAAAACAAAGCCAGCAGGATCTGCAGTTTCAATAGGTAGAGTTCACTGCAGGTTTTCAAGGGAGCTCTCCTTTCACTGTGAAGGTCTGGACAGGACTGAATGGGGAGAGGTCAGGTGCTTGTCAGCTTTGCTGTCTCCCCACATCTCTGCTTCTCTCACTCCATGGGGGAAGAAGATGGCTGCCTTCTGGGGCGAGGAGGCTCCCAGTCCTTCAGACACTAAGAGGCAGCGACTGTTCCCACAGACTTCAAAAGCCTAATGTTATAGACGGATTTATTATCATTTTGTTTTTATCACTAATGTGAATGTTTTTATTACAATGAATCTGCAAGCTGGTTATGACCAGTAGTCCTGATAACGGAATTAGCTGTAGTAGACACCTGACAATCAAATTCAAACCTCATCTTCCTATTTCCCACTTTTTATGGGCGGAAACTTGCTCTAGTGACGTTCTTTGCCCCAAAGTTTTAAGAAATTCAAGACAAGACACACAGAAATAAAAAACAGACAGCTTTATGTGTAAAGCCGATCTTACACATGTAAAAATTAATTTAAATGCAAATGAGCAAGAGCAAAGGTTAAGTGAATCTGGTATAACTCATTATTTTTGTATCTTGCCAGAGTACATGAAGAAAAATTCACATTGATAAAAATATATTCATTTAAAGAAGAACCAACTGGGTTTCCCTAAAAATTTGGCCTTTTCCTAGAAAAGCTATTTTGTGGGGGGCAAGGAGAGTGACCGGGGAGAGGGAGGGTCTGGACAAGTGATGGGAGTGGGCAGCTGCTGAAGTTACCTAAAGGTTCCCCAAATGCGGTCTCTCCATCCGTCTTTCCTCTGAGGTTTCTAATAACAACAATGCAAGCCTCAGCTACTGTCAAGGGCAATTCAGCTCGGGAGGAGTGGGCCGGACTAGGGCTGTGACACCGAGGTTTAAGAGTGGAGCTGAGGGAAGCGCCTCTGGGGAGAAAAGAGCCAGAATGCAGAAGGCCCGGGCAGATGAATCTGATTCTCTATTACAGCAGAACTCCCCCAAATCACAGTATTATGTGTAAAGTCAATGTGAGCTTACGGAAAATCTACAAAGTCACTGCCCGAGGCACAACAGTTTGCATTTAAAGAATGAAAATTAAACCCACGGTAATTCATCCTGAAAGGATGGGATGGGTTAACAATCAGGAATACGTACACGGTGTCTTAGAGGTGCTGACTGTCAAGTTAATTGTGTGTATTGATCAGGCACTTTAATTTGAAATTGAGTAATAAGATGGTCTTATCCAGTAAACTACAAATTTGAAATTATTTAGGAGACCAGAGACAAAATTAAAACAGATTATAAAATTTCAAACTATTTTTGAAAAAACAATGATATGATAACCTAAAAAAGGAACCTCTTGCATGCATGCATACATCTGTATACAGTGACAAAATATATAAATTCTGAAAATTGTTAAAAATGTTATAAAAGGCCAAGGCAATGCCCTGAAACCCCAAGGTATGGGGTTCCAGGACTCCTCTGATGGGCTGATTAGGTCAGCAACCCATCAGAACCATCTTGGGGAATTCTGTCAGAGAGATGCCCTGCCTCACTGCACCAACACAGAACTTCCACTAATCCCAACGTGCACCTTTAAGGATGGTTTGGGGGACTAGGAAGCCCCATGCCCCAAGACCAGGGCATAGGGTCTCAGCCACAAAGAGTCCAATAACCATCCAAAGAAGCTCAACTTCAACTCTCCAGGTATGTGGGGATTTGGAGAAGATCCGACCAAGTTTACTTTGCATATCTGTGCGTCTTAAGTTCCCGTCCTCCTGTACCTCACCAAGACAAACGCATACGCAAGGGGTTCTTAGGGGTCACTCAGGGATATGTTATTTTAGGGAGGTGGGAAGGGCAGTACAATGGTCTTCCTGGTTGGTGACTGGGTTTCATTTACTTCAAATAAAATTAATTTCTAAATAATTAGATCTTTTTAAATTATACTTACAGTGATTAGCATGAGAAGTGAGGAATACGGAAATAGAATATGTCCCTGGGTATGCTTACAGCAGAGTTACGTGATTCTGGGGAAGCTTTTTGCAATGTTATAACAGTGGAAAATCCCCAAACAGAAGAAATGGAAATCTCTAAAGTCACACTGTTAAATGGAAAGGCAAGTTGCAAGAGAACACACAATATAATTTCATTTATTTAACAGAACTAAAAATAAATCTATACTATCTCTAATATGTATGGAATGAATATTTGACAGTGTTTAGAAAAAGGCTGGGAACACATAAATGAACGGTGGGTCCCTGGGGGAGGGGAGCATGTGAGAGAAAGGGAACTCTTACTTTTCACTCTACATGATCGAGTTTTATGGGTAGTTGAAACTCGGGATGAACTTGAACAAGAATGTGTACGGCTTGTACTAAAACAAACTTTTCATGTGACGTTATGGAACCGGCTTGTCATAAAGCCTGGCCAATTTCTTTCAGAGTCGAGCAAATGGTAAGTTATTATGTGAAAGAGAACGCATCTTTATTTAAGGGCTGAAGACAGAACACGCTCATAGTACAAATAATGGAAACTCTGGCTATATGCTATTGTCCACGCGAATCATTAGAACATTCCCCGAATACTCACTGGGTTTGAGCCAGCCCTGAAATCAGTTATTTGCTCAAGGCAAGTAGTAATTTATGCCAGGCCCACAGAAAAGACAGATGATTTAATTAATTTTGATACTGGTGTCTCTCAGTGGAAGGAGACATGCGTTTTACTCACAAGGCTTGCCGGAGCCTGTTCTCCCAGGGATGGATCCACTCAAACCAAGACACTCAAACCAACCATTAAAAAAACACCATTTATGCATACCTGATAGCTTCCGCCATTTTAGTGCTTTCTCTTTTTCTGTCATCTGTTAAACGCCGGATAAAATAAATAAAGTCGAGGCCGCAGCAGAAGACACTGCCCACCGCGCTGAGCAGCACGAGTTTGCTGTCGTCGGCGGCAGCTGTGCTCAGGGCACTCTGGACTTCTTTCATTACCTGGAAGTCACCAGAAGGGAAAGTGGCAAAGAGTATTTCTGATACGGAACCCTAAAAGCATTTTGTTCCTGGATAATCTGGACCCAGAGAAAGTGCAGAAGCCGGATACCGTCCCCTCTGTCTACCACAATTTAAATAATTCACAAACTTCTTCTTTTCTATAACCAGAGAGGGGGAATGCTGGGGATAGTGTAAGTTACGTAACTAATTATGAACAGAGTATAATTAGAAAGACACGTAAATCTGAGTTACCTTAATATTCTAATCATTGGGACTCTCAGTAGATGAGGCAAGTTACACAGGATATCCACTTGGCATTTCTACAGTTTGGACAGCAGGTGGCACATTCAACCAGTTGAAAGAAACTAGGGTTCCCTGCCTTTTTTTTTCTTTTCCCTTTTAACACCAGCCTACCACACATGGGACAGAAACCCCAGAAGTTTGGTGCATAAGCACATTAGCACGGAGTCGTTTTAGAAGGGCGTAAGACCACCGAAAATGATCTCTACAGAGAAGCATTTACAAATAACCAATGAAGGGACTCTGCAGTTTAAAAACGTACCAGGGACTAGCCCTGAACTGGTTTGTCATGTGACCTTGGCCAGACATATAAACTTTGTGTAGTTTGGTTTTCTTGTCTGGAAAAAACTTGACTGAGCTGCTCACAAGTGGAAAACAACTGCCAGAATGTAGAATCTTATGGGGGCACAGCTCGGGTTCCAGTACTTCCCATCTTAGATGGTTTAGTTTGTTCTGAACCTCTGCAAGCACCTATCTCCTGGGATCCCTGAAAGCCAGCTTTGCCCGGTACTCCCGGCAACGAACACGTGCCCAGGTCCCTGCAGCGGGAACGAAGTTCCACGACGATGCTGAAGATCCGCAGGAACGATGTAACACCGTCTGAAGGGCCTGGGACCCCAGCCGTTTTAATCTCGTCTGAACAAAGCTAAAGAAAAGCATGTGCCCACATGCACTTCATATGCGAGTCTGGATAGGCCCCCACGGCCCACAGGCTGAGAGTTGGTGACCTGGAGGTGGCTGCTCCCCCTGCCCAGCACAGCCCCCCCACCGGGGCACGGAGGTGGACCCCCAGGCACGCTCGGCCCCAGCTGCACTGGCACGAGCACGCAGGCGCAGTGCGGTACGGAGCAAGCCTGCCCAGCCTCACCCCTGCTTCCTACCTTCTGGTGGGACTGCGCAACCGCCCAGAAGGTGAGTTAGAAAAGGCCCAAAGAGCACTGATTCGGCAAAGCAGGCCCCCGACACAAGGGCGTGGAGAAACATGAAGCACAAATCAGCTCAAGGAACGTCTCTCACCTCTGGGTTTAGTGAGTTATTCTCTGATGATTTTGTTGACAACAAGATGTGGGTGAAGCCATCCTGCTTCCTGACGACAATATCTCTGTATCTGTAGGCACTTTCTGTTTGCCTCACACTGAAACGCAACCGCTTGTCAAAAGGCTGGTCTCTTCTGTCGTCAATAAATTTCCTTTTTCCGGCTGTCACTCCTGTAACAGATGTCTGTATGTTGGTTGTTCCATTGGCTGTTAACGCATCCATAAACGGAGACGAACCTGCCGAGAGTTTGAAATCACAGTGGTCTGTGATATCCAGCTACTAAGTCCCTCCCCGGTGTCACCTCTGAATTGGGTAAAAGTGCTTATTATGAACCCCCAACTTCATGTATTAAAAGCGAGGCTGTTAAAAAGTCTACTTTTATTTTTTTAAAAGATTTTATTTATTCATTTGAGAGAGACAGAGACAGTGCGAGAGTGAGAGAAAGAGAGAGCAAGCACAAGCAGGGGGAGGGGCAGAGGGAGAGGGAGAAGCAGGCTCCCCACTGAGCAGGGAGCCCCATGCGGGGCTCGATCCCAGGACCCCAGCAACACGACCTGAGCCAAAGGCAGACGCTTAACCGACTGAGCCACCCAGGTGCCCCTAAAACGTCTGCTTTTAAAGGCTTTTGTTTTCCTTCAAAGTCTGACAAGGAAATCATCCTCTTGGCTTATTTTGCCTAAAAAATAAAGATAGAAAGTACTTGCTGAAAAGAAGCTACAAAATTTGAGACCTCTCGAGAATGGGATTAAAAAAGAATGGGTCTCACGAAGAGTACCTATTCCAGGCTTGAGAAGTTGAAGGAAAAAAGGAAATTGGTTCAAGAAAATATTATTATTCGAGCCAAAGCCATTCAGTTGAAATGTCTTTTTCTGAAGGCAAGATCGGTGTGTACAGATGCGCCACGTGACCACCTGTTTCTGCTGGTCCACAGGTGGTGGTGCTGTAGCCACCACTGCAGACCACGCCCCCTTGGGGGGGGCACTCAAGCCTCTCAGTTCTTTCTTTTGAGGCCTTGGGATGTGACTGCTCTCTGCCCACTGGTCCCAGTTCCACATTTTCAAACAGCCTTCTAAGTACAATTTCAAGACAATGCTCTTTCCTGCCACATAAAAGTGTTCTGCTAATTTTCCCTCCTATGTCAGTTCCCAGCATCAATGTGGTTGTCTTAAACCATGTCTTAAACACATGGTCTCCTGATCTTAATATTTCTTATAATAAAGGCAAAAGATTCATTTAATGCTTTCCTAGAGTTATCAAGTTACATCAGAGTAAGAATTCAAGTATTAATGAATAATTATAGTCCTATTCATATGAACTGTCTGAGTATTATCTCATCTGGTAATGAATATACAGAGCCTTCAGGTAGGAGAAGAAAGGGAAAGAAATGTAAGAAAACTGGATCAAGCTTTACTAATAAAATTAGTAGAGGTTCTTGGAGGGTCAGAAATATTTCCTCCACAGTGAAAGAAAATAAGCCAAGGCCACCAGAAAACACTCAGGAATGGACATCTAGAGAAGTCAAATAATCTCCTTGGTAAAACAACAGGACTTTCGATCTTGGGAGCGGAGCAAGATGGCGGAGGAGCAGGAGACCTGGATCTCGTCTGGTCTCAGGAATTCAGCTGAATAGGGATCAAACCATTCTGAACACCTACGAACTCAACAGGAGATCGAAGATAAGAATAGTAACAA